TCAATCTCTGCGGCCTCGACTTCCCCATCAAGACCAACCTGGAGATCGTGCGGGCACTGCGCGGGCTGCACGGCCGCAACTGCTTGGAGTCGAGGGCCATCGCGTACCAGACATGGCGCTGGGAAAACCACTTCGAGGTCGTGAATGGCAACGTGGAAATCACAAAGGTCTTGAAGTCCCCTCCGCCCATCCCGTCGCCGATGTTCGCCGGCAACACGTACATCGTGGTGACGCGTGCCTTCGTCGAGCACGTGCTGAGCGACCCCACAGCCCGGGCCCTCGCCGAATGGGAGAAGGACACCTACAGCCCCGACGAGCACATGTGGGCAACGCTCCAGCGGATGCCTGGGGTGCCCGGCTCGCGCCCCATCCACCGCAAGCACGACGTGGACGCCGTCGTGTCGATCGCGCGCCTCGTGCGTTGGGGCGATCGCGAGGGCGAGAACCTCGCGGGCGGCGTCTACCCGCACTGCAGGGGCCCCCACGTCCGCGCCGTCTGCGTCAACACCGCGGGCGACCTGGCCTGGGTGCTGCAGCAGCGTCACCTGTTCGTCAACAAGGTCGACTCGGCCGTTGACCCCGTGGCCATCCATTGCCTCGAGGAGCACCTGAGGCGCAGGGCGCTCGGGGAGGCAAGCGAAGCGCTCTGATGGTGCCGCGGGGTGGGGAGGGGGGATGGGGTTTGTGCTAGAGAGGAATTGGGTGGGGACGGGAGGTGAGTGGGGAAGGGTTCAAGCTGTACCACCACGTGGTAGGGGGGGGGGTGTGGTAAGGATTGAGGAAGGGAGGTGAGTGGGGAAGGGTTCACGCTGTATCACCACGTTTCAATACCTGTGGGCGTGGGGCAGGGGTGGACACGTGGTAAGCTGGCAGCATCTCCCGACGCAAAGCCCCCGACCTACATTTAGCCGGTCCGCGCCCGCTAATTTACAAAGCCCACCAACAGCTGGGCCCACAACTCGCGGGTTGGCCTAGTCCTCGGCAAGGTAAAAGGTCAAAAGCAACGAGCCTACATTTACCCTGCCGTTTATCCTTACCCCATACAAATTACCCGATTAAAGGGTTATTACTGGGGTACTACTACACATGAACAAAGTTATAACAGGTAAATGCTAGGTAGAGCGCTTTATTCGTATAGAATACTCTCGATGATTCTAATTTTAAATGGCGGCCACTGGACTTGCGCAACTGAGCTTTTAGCGAGCGGTAAACAAGGTGTTTACCGGGTAATTCTTCCGCGCTACCTTTACCCTAACCTTTACCTTACCCCTTGGCATGTCGACACCTTTACCCTTTACCCTTTTACCCGGTAAAAAGGGTAAATTACCTTACTTCACCGAGGCCTAGGTTGGCCGACTAATAGCTCCGACCGCAACCCTCGCACCGTTGCCTCTAACCGTGGGTCGAGCGACGGAGCCCTAATTTATTCAAGCGAATGCTATTGCACGCGACTACCCACAGTCGACAACGCTGGATACATTGACAGAATATGTATACAGGGTTCTTAAAAAAATAATGCGTAACACTTATACGGGACTATCGTTTTTAATGGAAAAAGAACAGGATGATAATAATACACTGTGAACTGTGATAACAAATATTTTTACGAGAGCATATTTTTTATTTGCATGTTCACCACAAGTATATGTGGCTAATGCAGTGACATGATTCCTTGCAACAGGTTTCTGTTTGGTGTTTTAAGATCTTAAGAGAGGGTAAAACCAATTATTCTATTTTGATAACGGCAAGGGAGGTCCAATGATGTAGCTGCTAACCACGAGGTCTCAATGTCCTGATAGTGGCATTGTCTTTGTTCTGGTCGCCCTATTTGGTGTCGTCCTCTGATCTAACGCTGTTTGAGACGAGGCTCTAAAGAAAGCTGCCTCTGGTGTGGACCAATCAGTTTCAAAGACAATGTATCATGTACTACCAGAGCATGTGTGTAGTGTAGTAGTGTATAGTGTAGTGTATAGTAGTGTAGTGTATAGTGCAGTGTATAGTGCAGTGTATAGTGTAGTGTATAGTAGTGTATAGTGTAGTGTATATTGTAGTGTATAGTAGTGTAGTGTATAGTGTAGTGTAGTAGTGTATAGTAGTATATAGTGTAGTATAGTGTAGTGTATAGTGTAGTGTGCAGTGTAGTGTATATTGTAGTGTATAGTAGTGTAGTGTATAGTGTAGTGTATAGTAGTGTATAGTGTAGTGTATAGTGTAGTGTATATTGTAGTGTATAGTAGTGTAGTGTATAGTGCAGTGTATAGTGTAGTGTAGATTACATTGTAGTGTATAGTAGTGTAGTGGATAGTGTAGTGTATAGTGTAGTGTATAGTGTAGTGTATATCGTAGTGTGTAGTGTAGTGTATATTGTAGTGTGTAGTGTAGTAGTGTATAGTGTAGTGGATAGTGTAGTGTATAGTGTAGTGTACATTGTAATGTGTAGTGTAGTGATTGTTTTATTTGCATGTTCACCACAAGTTTCGAAATCGATGTCAGACCTTCAGAGTATTTGAATGCCGCTATGCATTTTCACGTGATGACAGCGATATCAGCTGCTACGTTGAGCTGCTATCGTTTGTGATGGTCACGTCGCTTATCTGACAAAGAGCAATTTGTTTCTTGCTGTGGTTGCCCCACCTGATAATGGACGCTTGTGTGTGAACCCGAAACGTCGTTATTTAATTTATTTTAATTTAAGACCTACGTGACTTTACCGAAAGAACCAAAGAGTATGGACATCTGTGAATAAATGAGCTTCATAGCTCATCGGGATTCCTCCTCCCGCAGTCTAAATAAGCGTTCCGATTCAACGTTCAAGCATCGGGAATGTGCCCCCTTTTAACCCCCTGTGATCCGGAGAGACTGTGGCGTCACAGAGAGGCTCACGTGACATTCCACGTGGGATCCCTAACAAAGCAGTGCTCAATCTTGATTTGAGGCTTTCGTGACTGCAGGAATCCATACTCTTAGGTATAAAATAAAAAAAATCACGATGTTTCGATCGCAACACAAGCGGTCGTCCTCAGGCGGAAAAAATATAATCCAGCAGTGGAACTGCTGAACCAGCGAGAGAGCTGGCGATGGGAAAGCAAGCGGGGTCTGAGCTGGAAAGGAATTCCATCCACGGACGCAACCACATCAGTTGTGTTAATGGGGGAGATTAGGGAGAGAGGGATTAGGGAGTATCATGCCCGCATATGCACACAACAGCAGGGGTGCGAGACGTGGCCAGATTTTCTTATGAAGGTAAATAATCGAAACACAAATTAAGCTTTGTTTCATCAAACCCCTATGTATATATAACATGATTAAATTTTTGTAACGATTTAGAACTGAAGGGGTGCAAGGTTGCAGTGAAGGTTAATAACCGCTGCTTTAAACCGATCTCAAACACATTTTTCATTCGTTTTTTATGTCACGTAAAACGGCGTCGCCGTGGCACTTGCCCCTCCCCCCGTCTTCGCCTTCACACCTCTCGCAATTGCGAGTGAGCTTTGTTATTCTCGAGGGAGTTGTGCGTACCGTGTGTGTGTCGATGTACATACGCATGTCAAGGGGAGCGCTGTAGCGGTGAGCACTGTGCCGCACTACGAACCCGAGTTCGAGTCCCGCTCACGGCCAACACCGGTGACGATCATCTGAGAAAGTGCTGGGCCTCCCCTAAGTCGACTCAGCCTCAAATGAGTACCTGGTACGGTGTGTGAACATTGCCACTCAGGGGACAAAGGCGGCCGGGCATAGTGATGGCCGCAAACTCTATACGTAAAAGAAACAGTGGACTGTAAAATATACTCGCACTCATGTCTTTGGTGCAGTCATAAGGTTGCATTGCCCACCAAATGCCACAACTTCGTATATGGCTTCATTTCGGTGAGTTTATTATTGTACTTTTTTTTTAAATGTTGACTTCTGCATAAAATAATGGGGTTAGATCTCGTAGCTATAGATGTTTGTCGTTAAACCCGCCACCATCCAACAAAACGTAGCCAATACGTGACCAGTTCAGCACTGACCGGTTGTGTGTTGGAGTATTAAAGCAATTCGTTAATGGTACAGCACTAAACCGGTTGTGTTGGAGAGTGAACCAATTCGTTACTAGTACAGCACTAACCTAGTGTGGTGGTATAGCGCTGGCTGCTTTGTGGAAAATGGGAACTGCGGTGTACCCCAGTACTCGCGTCAGCAGGCCACGATATATACGAGAGGGGGACATCTAGGGGGGAAAGATCACAGAAGGGGCTCATTGGGAAGGCCTGGGGAACCCGCCGGTAGGTTCCAGGAAGGGAGTGTAGGGAGTAAAAGAGAGGGCCCTGAGGGGGAGCTCGGGGCTGTTGCTGGAAGTGGGATCCCTGTCATGCTGTTCAAGATTGTCGTCGTAGTCTCCATCTTCACTATTCCGGGGTGCTGTTAGATGGCCTACCAACTGTTCTAAGTAGTGCTGCCGACAATCGATGGTCTTCATAATAAGTGTGCACCCACGTAGGGTGGTGTGTGTTATCCTGATGGTGATTGTGAAATTAAAGAAGTGCCTCCAAGTATTACTGTCTCCGATCTACGTCACTACACTAGTGCAGCACTAACCGGTTGTTGTTGTGTAAAACTGTTTGTTATTGCACCGTTCTGACCCCCGTGCTCCTAACTGGACATCTGCGAATAAAAGAGCTTCATGGCTCATCGGGTTTCCTCCTGCTGCGGTCTAAATAAACGTTCTGATCGCGATTCAGTGTTGAGTCTCGTTGAGCCGCCTATAGCCTCGCCAGCTTCTATGGAGCTCGCCACGAAGAGGGCGATGGAGAGGCGAGTCGACCAGACCTTCAAAACGCGAATTTCACACTTCTGTTTCACTCAGCGCCATTTTTGTTTCACTCTGTAGCAATTAGTTTCAATCAAAAGCGTCACTTCCGTTTGACCCAAACGTCACTTCCGTTTAACCCTAACGTCACTTCCGTTTTATCTAGCGTCACTTCCGTTTCACCCCTAGCGTCACTTCCGTTTCACTCGAGCGTCACTTCCGTTTCACTTCCGAGCCCTCGCTCTCTCTCGCGCACAGAGACGCAGACAAAAAGCTCCCCCAGGTAGCCTCTAGAAAGCTGGAGGGGCAAGTGCAGTGTGAGTAGCGAGCAGCAGCAGCAGCGCCTATAACACACACAGACAAAGCTCCCCCAGGTAGCCTCTAGAAAGCTGGAGGGGCAAGTGCAGTGTGAGTAGCGAGCAGCAGCAGCGCCTATAACACACACAGACACAGCTCCCCCAGGTAGCCTCTAGCAGGGCTGTAGGGGAAAGTGCAGTGTTAGTGGCGAGCAGCAGCAGCGCCTACTAAGGCGGCAGGCACTGGCACACGCAGCGCCCGGCCGCCTTTATCTCCCTAAGCGGCGATTTGAGGCCGAGTCGACCTAGGGGAGAGTCGAGGTCCGGTTCAGATAATCGCTGTGCCGTCACTGTTGGTGGCCCTGAGCTCGGCGCGCTAACCGCTGCGCCACCGCTCCCACGCAAGGCAAAGACGACCGCCGCCGCCACCACCACCCCCCCCGTGTAGCATCTGAGGCTGTAGGGGCAGAGGGCTGCGAGCGAGTTTTCTCTCCTGAGCCTGGTTCCACTCACCCACTTATTCATTCACCCGCTCATTCACCGACCCGCTCGCTCGCTCGCTCACCCACCCACTCGCTCACCCACCCACCCACTCACTCACCCACTCACTTACCTACTCATTCACCCACTGACTCACCCACTCACTCACCCACTCACTCACCCACTCACCCACTCATTCACCCACTCACTCACCCACTCATTCACCCACTCACTCACCCACTCATTCACCCACTCACTCACCCACTCATTCACCCACTCACTCACCCACCCAATCACCCACTCACCCGCTCACTCACCGACTCACTCGCTCACCCAGTCAACCACTCACTCGCTCACCAACTGGTGAGCGATGGTGCTGAGCGCTCCTTCCATGTGGTGAGCGATGCTGCTGCTGCGTTCGCTGACGACCTCCTCGCTGGCGAGGCCCTCGACATTCCTGCTCGAGATGCCCAGAGCCAAGCGCACGAACCCCCACGGAGCGATGGTAAACTCCCTTCGTGTAGTGTATAGTGTAGTGTATAGTAGTGTAGTGTGTAGTAGTGTATAGTCTAGTATATAGTAGTGTATAGTTTAGTATATAGTAGTGTATAGTGTAGCAGTGTAGTGCATATAGTGTAGTGTATAGTATAGTCGTGTATAGTGTAGCAGTTTTTTTTTTATAGTAGTGTAGTTTTTATAGTAGTGTAGTGTATAGTGTAGTGTATAGTAGTGTATAGTGTAGTGTCTAGTATTGTATAGGAGTGTATAGTGTAGTGTCTAGTATTGTATAGGAGTGTATAGTGTAGTGTCTAGTATTGTATAGGAGTGTATAGTGTAGTGTATAGTGTATTCTGTAGTGTATAGTGTCTATAGTAATGTGGTGTATAAGTCGTGTATAGTGTAGAGTATAGTAGTGCAGTCTATAGTAGTGTATAGTGTAGTGTATAGTAGTGTATAGTGTAGTGTCTAGTATTGTATAAGAGTGTATAGTGTAGTGTCTAGTATTGTATAGGCGTGTATAGTGTAGTGTCTAGTATTGTATAGGAGTGTATAGTGTAGTGTATAGTGTATTCTGTAGTGTATAGTGTCTATAGTAATGTAGTGTATAAGTCGTGTATAGTGTAGAGTATAGTAGTGCAGTCTATAGTAGTGTATAGTTTAGTGTATAGTAGTGTATAGTGTAGAGTAATGTAGTGTAGTCTATAGTAGTGTATAGTGTAGTCTATAGTAGTGTAATGTAACATAAACATAGTTTCAGTTTAACTGGAGGGATAATGGCCAGTTTACTCACCCACCTACTCACTACCCACCTACTCACTCACCCACCCACCCACTCACCCACCCACTCACCCACTCACTCACCCACCCACTCACCCACTCACTCACCCACCCACTCACCCACTCACCCACCCACCCACCCACTCACTCACCCACCCACCCACTCACTCACTCACTCACCCACCCACCCACCCACTCACCCACCCACCCACCCACTCACCCACCCACCCACCTACCCACCCACTCACTCACCCACCCACCCACTCACTCACCCACCCACTCACTCACCCACCCACTCACTTACTCGCCCACCCACTCACTTACTCACCCATCCACCCACCCATCCACTCACCCACCCACCTACCCAACCACCCACCTACCCACCCACCCACTCACCCATCAACCCACTATCCTACCCACTCACCCACCCACCTATCCACCCACTCACCCACCTACCCACTCACCGACCTACTCACTCACCCACCCACCCACTCACAGCTGAGTGGGTATTGCTGTTGGGTGTTGATCGGTGTCACAGCCCCCTGCTGAGGCTGCGGCCGCTGCGGCCTCCCAGGGCCCCTCAGGCCCCGTGTCTCTGAACGCGGACGGCAGCGTCAGCATCAGGGTCCACGCGAAGCCCGGGGCGAAGCAGAGCGCCGTGACGGGTGAGGCTCACTCACACACACTCATACACTCACCCACCCACCCAACTACCCATTCACTCACTCACACACACACTCACCCACCCACCCAACTAGCCATTCACTCACTCACACAACAACAACCGCCATTCGCCACTAAGTGGCGGTGACGTCACACAAAGATTCCCCCATATAGCCTGAACAGACTGTAGGGGCAAGTGCTGTTAGCGAGCACCTATGAAGGCCAGAACGGTACACGAGGGGGGTGGGTGGCCAGCACCACGCCCGACCGCCTTTGTCTCCCTAGTGACAATGTTTACACACCTCACCAGGTACTCATTTGAGGCTGAGTCGACCTAGGGGAGGCCCGGGACCAGTTCAGATAATCGTCACTGGTATTGGCCGTGAGCGGGAATCGAACTCGTGTCGCCGGGTTCATAGTGCAGCGCGCTAACCGCTACACTATCACCCACTGTGTGTGTCGCCCACTGTGTGTGTGTTGCCCACTGTGTGTGTGTGTGTCGCCCACTGTGTGTGTGTGTCACCCACTGTGTGTGTCACCCACTGTGTGTGTGTGTGTCACCCACTGTGTGTGTGTGAGTCACCCACTGTGTGTGAGTCACCCACTGTGTGTGTGTGTCACCGTCACCCACTGTGTGTGTGTCACCCACTGTGTGTGTGTCACTCACTGTGTGTGTGTCACCCACTGTGTGTGTGTGAGTTGCCCACTGTGTGTGTCACCCACTGTGTGTGTGTGTCGCCCACTGTGTGTGTGTGTCACCCACTGTGTGTGTGTCACCCACTGTGTGTGTGTCACCCACTGTGTGTGTGTGTGAGTTGCCCACTGTGTGTGTCACCCACTGTGTGTGTGTGTCACCCACTGTGTGTGTGTCACCCACTGTGTGGTTGCCCGCTGCGTGCAGGCGTGGAGGAGGAGCCGGGGGGCTCCGTCTCCGTCTCTGTCTCGGCGCCCCCCGTAGACGGCGCCGCCAACGTGGAGCTCCTCCGCTTCCTCGCCGCCGCCCTCGGCGTGCGCAAGGGCGACCTCGCCCTCGATAAGGTGGGCGACATGATAATTGTTTTTTTACCCTTTTATCTGGCAACAAAACTGATACCTTTTTTACAAGGAGTCATGTTTGCATAGACCACAATACCTGCAGTCATAATGCAAACAAAAAACATAACTCTGTATGCAATGTCCTTGAAGTTGATTGGTCCACACCCGAGACAGCTTTCCTTAGAGCCTAGTCTCACATGGGTTGGGCCAGGTGACGCCAAAAGGCGCACAACTCAAAGACAATGCACCATCAGAGTATGAGAGCTCGGGGTAAGCATTTACACCATTGGAACCTCATTTGCCAGTAAAAAATGTGATAATTGGTTTTTTACCCTAAAAACCAATTATCACATGATGCATTTTGGCGTCATCTGGTATAACCCATGTGAGACTAGGCTCTAAGGAAAGCTGTCTCGGGTGTGGACCAATCAACTTCAAGGACAGTGCATACAGAGTTATGTTTTTTGTTTGCATCATGACTGCAGGTATTGTGGTCTATACAAACATGACTCCTTGTAAAAAAGGTGTCAGTTTTGTTGCCAGATAAAAGGGTAAAAAGAAATTATATTTTTTACTGGCAAATGAGGTTCCAAAGGTGGGCGACGTCGCGGCCACGTCGGGGACGCGACGTTGGGGATGCGACGTCGGGGCGACGTTGTGTTGCAATCGAAACGTCGTATGCTATTATTTAATTTATTATTTTATCTTTCCACGTGACTTTACCGAAAGAACCAAAGAGTAATTCCTGCAGTCACGAAAGCGCCAAATCAAGTCTGAGTGGACTTGCCGATGTCCGGTACCAGCGGCGTCAAGATCGGCCTCTGTGGAAGAGGCTCGTGAAGGACGCTGCTACTGGGCAGTTGGAGGCAGTCGCCCTCCAGCAACAACGGAGGGCGGAGGAGCGACGCTCACAACAACGAGCGGAGCGGCGGGTGGCTAAAGCACAGCAAGTTGGCACAGTAGGGGGCACAGGTGGTGCATCAGCCGGTCATCTCGGTCATCTCAGTCAGTCGACCCATGGCACCTGGGTCTGCCCCGTGACCTGCCAGCGGGCGTTCGACACTTCACCTGGCCTCAAGGTGCACATGGCCTGGCACAAGCCGTCGTGGAGATGTCACCGCCACTTAGTGGCGAATGGCGGTTGTGGTTGTTGTGTATGTCTCTGAGTGTGTGTGTGTGTGTGGGGAGCGGTGGTGTAGTGGTTCATAGCGCTACGCTGCGCTATAAACCCAGCCACCCGGGTTCCATTCCCGCTCACGGCCAACACCGGTGACTATTATCTGAACCGGTCCTGGGCCTCCCCTAGGTCGACTCAGCCTCAAATAAGTACCTGGTGTAGCAGCGTAGTGTAGTAAACATCGCTCGCACTGGGGAGACAAAGGCGGTCGGGCGTGGTGCTGGCCACCAATCCCCTCGTGTACCATTCCGGCCTTCATAGGTGCTCGCAAACAGCACTTGCCCCTACAGTCTGTGAAGGCTATACGGGGGTCTTTGTGTGTGTGTGCGTGTGTCTGTGTGGTTAATTCAGAAACTTGACGATTTCTCTGATAATTTGCCTTGCCTCTGTCTTTGTCTCGTTCTGTCTCTGTCTGTCTGTGTCTCTCTCCGCGTGTCTCCCCGCAGGGTGCCCACTCCAGGGAGAAGGTGGTGCGCCTGGCCGCTGGGCGTCTCGCGCCAGACGCGGTGCACCAGCGTCTGCAAATCGCCCTCGGGAAAACGTGACGGAGCGAGGTCTGGGGCAGGAGAAGAGCCGGATAGCTAGATTTGAAGCTTTTGTGACTGCAGGAATCCATACTCTTTGGTTCTTTCGGTAAAGTCACGTAGGTAGAAATAAAATTAAAGATAACAAATCACGACGTTTCGATTGCAACACAAGCAATCTTCATCAGGTGTGACAACCACAGAAAGCTCTTCGTGTCACAGACGAAATCCCAGGTAGGGGGGGGGCCAGAGAGGAGAGGGGTGGTGGGGCAGTCAGCGTTACAGATGTGTCAGGACGCTGACACGGCCGCTGTGTGTAAGGCCCAGGCAGTGCCGGATGATACCAGTAAGCTAAAGTATCTACAAATGCTATGGGCCCTGCGCTTTCAAGGGCCCCGCGCTAAATGCTTTCAAGCTATCAATTCCGGTTCAGTGATTCCTGCATTTGCACTATTACTAGAGTACTACACCACGGCTGCTGCTGCTGACTGTTGCTGGGGCTGCTGCTGCTGCGAATTCTTCTTCTGGGGCTGTGGCTGTGGATGCTTCCACTGCTGCTGCTTCTGCTGTGGCTGCGGCTGCTGCTACTGCGGCTGCTGGTGGGGCTATTTTCGCTGCTGCTGCTGACTGCTGCTGACTGCTGCTGCTGACTGCTGCTGTTGCTGTGGCTGCTGCTGCTGTGGCTGGGGCTACTTGCGCTGCTGCTGCTGCGGATGCTGGGGCTGCTGCGACTGCAAGAAATGTGCCTCCTCCGGGCTCTAGAGACCACCTGCAGAAGATTCGAGACGCGCGTTGACAACGATGGCGAACAAGTGGGAGAGACTCTTTGACTTCTTGAAGCTATCAACATTACATCCGTTATCACATTCACAATGTAAGATTATGCGTTCTCTTTCCATTACAAACGATCGTCCCGTATAAGTGTTGACATTTTTTTGAAGCACCCTCTATCTGAACTTGTCGTGAAACCCGCCACCACCCGACACAGCCGTTTTGTAAGGGTTTGTAACGAAGGGTTTGTCACGTGAGGTTTGTTACGTAAACAGAACATTGGCACGCTCTGTCTATGTGACACAAACCTTACCAATGGGCCGTGTCGGGCGGTGGCGGGTTTAGCGACACGTTGACCCTTGCGCTCTCTAACCCCAACAAAAACGCGCGTTCGGCATGCGGAGGCCGCAGCCTACAGCGCTGCCACGAACACCGGGATGTGGAGGTCGCCCATGGGTTTGCATCTCGGTGATTCCCGCCGCACCAAATCCGTCGTCTGAGGGCAGTGTGGGGAAGCGCGTTCTTGCTTGGTGCCTCCACGTCCTCCTGTACCACATCACTCCGTCTCTTCTCTAGACTGTACCACTCACCCACCCACTCACACACTCATCCACTCACTCGCACACACACTCACCCACTCACACACCCACTCAACCACCCACTCACACACCCACTCACACACTAACCCACTCTTACACTCGCACACTCACACACCCACTCACCCACTCACCCACACACACACCCACTCACACACACACCCACTCACACACTCATCCACTCTTACACTCACACACCCACCAAACCACCTACCCACTCACCCACACCCACTCACACACTCACCCACTCACTCATCCACTCACACACCCACTCACCCACACACACACTCACCCACACACACACACCCACTCACACACTCATCCACTCTAACACCCACTCACCCACCGACCCACTCACCCACACACTCACCCACTCACCCACCCACTCACCCACCCACCGACCCACTCACCCACCCACCCGCTCTTCCACCCACCCACTCACACACCCACTCACCCACCGACCCACTCACCCACCCACCCACTCTTCCACCCACCCACTCACCCACCCACTCACACATCACTCCATCTCTTTTCTAGCCCATGCCACTCACCCACCCACCCACTCACCTACCTGCCCGCTCTTCCACCCACCCACCCACTCACCCACCCACCACTCCATCTCTTCTCTAGCCCGTGCCGCGCCCATTCAGCCCCCTCTAACCGACCAAACAGAAGCTGTTTAGGCTTGCGGTGGCTGGGCATGCGGGCTACATGGCCCAGCCAACGCAGCCTTGCCTGCCGGAGGAGCTCACCGATGGGACTTTGTCCAGATCTTTCAAGGATTTGTGAGCTCACACAATCCAGCCTGCAGGTTAAACCCAGGATGGATCATAGGCAGGCCAGCCTAAATGTTTTTAACCGATGAAGATGCCCCATTAGGGTGGTCCACGTTTCGCAAGCGTAGAGAAGGGAGGGAATGACCGTGGCCGTGAAGACCTGAAGCTTCGTGCGGAGCAATAGACCAGGTAGCTTCCACACAGCGTTACGCAACTGATGAAAATATATTGCCGCTCGACTGATTCGGAGTGAGACCTCTGCTGTCAAACGGGAGCCGGTCATGGGCACACTGCCCAGGTAAGGGAAACTCTCCACTGTCTCCACAACTGACACATCACAGACACAGACAACAACAACCGCTATTTGCCACTAAGTGGCGGTGACGTCACCACGGCCCCTGTGCCAGGCTAGGTGCATTTTGAGGTCACGTGAAGTGTTGAACGCCCGCTGGCAGGAGGTCACGGGGCAGACCCAGCAGGTGCCATGGGTTGGCTGAAATCTAACACACCCACACACTAGCACACAAAGACAACATCAACAACAACAACCGTCATTCGCCACTAAATGGCGGTGATGTCACCACAGCGCCTGTGCCAGGCTAGGTGCATTTTGAGACCACGTGAAGTGTCGAACGCCCGCTGGCAGGAGGTCACGGGGCAGACCCAGCAGGTGCTGCGGGTCGACTGACTGAGATGACTGGCCAATGCACCACCTGTGCCCCCTACTGCGCCAGGCGAGGTGCAGGAGGTCACGGGGCAGACCCAGCAGGTGGCACGGGTCAACCGACTGAGATGACTGGCCGATGCACCACCTGTGCCCCCTACTGTGCCAGACACACAAACACACAAAGACAAAGATCCCCCATATAGCCTTAACAGACTGTAGGGTCAAGTGCTGTTAGCGAGCACCTATGAAGGCCGGAACGATATACGAGGGGGTGGGTGGCCAGCGCCATGCCGGACCGCCTTTGTCTCCCCAGTGACGATGTTTACACACCGCATCAGGTACTCATTTGAGGCTGAGTCGACCCAGGGGAGGCCCAGGACCGGTTCAGATAATCGTCACTGGTGGTGGCTGTGAGCGAGAATCGAACCCGGTCGCTGGGTTCGTAGTGCAGTGTAGCGCTAACAACTACACTACCGCTCCTCTGGGATGCATTCCAAGACGGCACGAAGAGAGAACAAATTAAATAAACTTCTACACATTTGCCACCAGCACAAATATGCTCGGTCAGGAGATTCTTCAACTCTGTTTGGCTGAGTCACGGAAACCTGACATTTGAGTCGGATGGCTCAGCTCTTGGGGCTACGTGAAGTTATAAATAAGCCTCCCAGTGTAGGTGTGTGTGTGTAGGTTTTTGTGTAGGTGTGTGTGTAGGTGTGCGCAGGGATGTGTGTAGGTGTTTGTGTAGGTGTGTGTGTGTAGGTGTGTGTGTAGGTGTGTGTGTGTAGGTGTGTGTGTAGGTGTGTGTGCACACGTGTCTGTGTGTGTAGGTGTGTGTCTGGTATGTGTGTGTACGTGTGTGTGTAGGTGTGTGTATGTGTAGGTGTGTGTTTGTAGGTGTGTGTATAGGTGTGTGTGTGTCGGTATGTGTGTGTAGGTGTGTGTGTGTAGGTGTGTGTGTAGGTGTGTGTGTGGGGAGCGGTAGTGTAGCGGTTAGCGCGCTGCGCTATGAACCCGGCCACCCGAGTTCGATTCCTGCTCACGGCCAACACCAGTGATGATTATTAGAACTGGTCCTGGGCCTCCCCTAGGTCGACTCAGCCTCAAATGAGTACCTGGTGCGGTGTGTAAACATCACCACTAGGGAGACAAAGGCGGTCGGGCGTGGTGCTGGCCACCCACCCCCTCGTGTACCGTTGCGGCCTTCATAGGTGCTCGCTAACAGCACTTGCCCCTACAGTCTGTTAAGGCTATATGGGGATCTTTGTCTTTGTCTTGTAGGTGTGTGTAGGTGTGTGTAGGTGTGTGTAGGTGTGTGTCTAGGTGTGTGTAGGTGTGTGTGTACACGTGTCTGTGTGTGTAGGTGTGTGTGTGTAGGTGTATGTACATAGGTGTGTGTAGGTCTTTGTGTGTAGGTGTGTAGGTGTAGGTTTGTGTGTGTAGGTGTGTGTGTGTCGGTATGTGTGTAGGTGCGTGTAGGTGTATGTGTAGGTGTGTGTGTGTAGGTGTGTGTGTAGGTGTGTGTGTGTGTAAGTGTGTATGTGTGTATGTGTAGGTGTGTATGTGGAGGTGTGTGTGTAGATGTGTGTGTGTGCACATATGTCTGTGTGTGTATGTGTGTAGGGGTGATGGGGCAGTTGTGGAGAGAGTGGAGAATTTCCCATACCTGGGCAGTGTGCTCATGACCGGCTCCGGTTTAACAGCAGAGGTCACACTCCGAATCAGTCGAGCGGCAATATCTTTTCATCGGCTGCGTAACGCTGTGTGGAAGCTACCTGGTCTGTCGCTCCACACGAAGCTTTAGGTCTTCTCGACCACAGGTTATGCCCTCCCTTCTCTGCGTTTGCGAAACGTGGACCCCTCTAATGGAACATCTTCACCGGTTATAAACATTTAGGCTGGCCTGCCTATGATCCGAACTGGGTTTAACCTGCAGGCTCGATTGTGTGAGGAGCTGCTCACAAATCGTTGAAAGATCTGGACAAAGTCCCATCAGTGAACTCCTCCGGCAGGCAAGGTTGCGTTGGCTTGGACCATGTAGCCCGCATTTCCAGCCACCGCATGCCTAAACAGCTTTTGTTCGGCCGGATCGAGGGGGCTAAACGGGCACGGCATGGGCTAGAGAAGAGATGGAGTGATGTGGTACAGGAGGATGTGGAGCTGAGTGGACTTGCCGATGACTGGTACTAACGGTGTCAAGATCGGCCTCTGTGGAGGAGGCTCGTGAAGGACGCTACTGGGCAGTTGGAGGCAGTCGCCCTCCAGTAACAACGGAGGGCGTAAGAGCGACGCTCACAACATCGAGCGCCGGGTGGCTAAAGCACAGCCAGTTGGCACAGTAGGGGGCACAGGTGGTGCATCGCCACTCATCTCAGTCAGTCGACCCGTGGCACCTGCTGGGTCTGTCCTCTGACCTCCTGCGAGCGGGCGTTCAACACTTAACGTGGCCTCAAGGTGCACATAGCCTGGCACAAGCGCCGTGGTGACGTCACCGCCACGTAGTGGAGAATGGCGGTTGTTGTTGTTGTGTCTGTGCGTGTGGTGCGTAACAAACGCACCACACGCACATACATACTACACTATACACTACTATACACTACAATATACACTACTATACACTACACTATACACTAGTGTACACTACACTACTACACTATCGACTGCACTATACGCTACACTATACACTACTATACACTACACTATACACTAGTATACACTACACTATACACTACACTACTACACTATCGACTGCACTATACGCTACACTATACATTGCACTATACACTTCACTATACACTACGATAAACTACACTATAAACTACACTATACACTACTATACACTACACTATACACTACACTATACACTACGATACACTACACTATACACTACACAATGTTGGAAACAGCTGGATAATCGATAATCAACCCCACAGATGATTGTTGTTATTAACCTCGGATAAGTCAATCGATGACGACGCTGATCCAGCACCACCCAACCCCAGCTGACGCGAAGGTGACGTCACAGTGGGGAGGTGGGGGAGGGGCCGAGGTGGGGGAGGGGGCGAG